AAAAAAAAAAGAAAAGAAAAGAAAAAAAAAAGAAAGGGGAGTGAATTGGAGTAACACCAACCCGTGTTGATTGAGGGTGGATATTTGCACTGAGGAAGTTTGAAGAAAAAAAAGTACCTTATGAGAGGACTAAAGTGAGGCCCTAAAGATGAACAGGGAACTCCCTGAGAAGTATCTGATCCTTTCTTTGTTTTTTCATGGACAGTGGGGAAAATCATAGTAAGTTATGACATCATAATTTGGCAATATCTGATAAGACTGGGTGATGATGATAGTCTGAGTGATGATGGCAGGATGAAGATAGGAATCTGATAGTAAAGAGAAGTATGACAGATCACTCCCAAATATAGCCCTGTCCAGAAACCACCTGGACAGAAAAAAGGCCGGAGAAAGAGAATTGAGGTTTCCAACACATATGAGTGAGACCTTCTTGGATCTCTAGCTCTCGTCAAGCCTTCCCAACACCACGAGGAACAGAAATGAGCCATCCAAATGAGCTTTACCCAAATTCCTGATCCACAGTGTCAAGAGCAATGAAAGGGTTGTCGTTTGGGTCTTTTCGCTATCTTTTCGTGCTGCCACAATGGTGCACATGAATGTCCTGCCTGATGCTCTCAAGGGCATCAACAATGCCGAAAGGAGAGGCAAACGCCAGGTTCTTACTAAGCTGTGCTCCAACATCATCATCCGGTTTCTCATTGTGATGGGGAAGTATGGTTACATTGGCGAATTTGAGATCATTGATGATCACAGAACTGGGAAAAATTGTTGTGATCACAGGCAGGCTAAACAAGTGTTGAGTTATCAGTCCCAGATTTGATGTGCAACTCAAACATCTGGAAAAATGTCAGAATAATCTGCTTCTATCCCTCTAGTTTGGTTTCATTGTACTGACAACCTCAGCTGGTATCATGGACCATGAAGAAGCCAGAAGAAAACACACAGGAGGGGAAATCCTGGGATTCTTTTTTTTAGCGATGTAATACATATTCACAAATAAAATGCTTCATGGACTCTGGTACTAAAAGAAAAAAAAAAGAAACGTTGTCATTTGAAGCTATTACGTTTTAAGGTTGTTTATTATGAAGTGCTAATATCTATTTAGTAATAGATAACTAAAACAGGAAACACTGTCTGCTAAATATTCACTACTTCTTTGAGATCCATGTGGAGGTAGCAGCATCTCTTTTTTTTTGAGACAAGGTCTTGCTCTATCATCCAAGCTGGAGTGCAGTGGTTCGACCATAGCTCACTGCAGCTTCGATCTCCCAGGCTCAAACAATCCTCCCACCTCAGTTTTCTGAGTAGCTGGGACTACAGGCATGCACCACCACACCTGCTAATTTTTAAATTTTTTATTGAGCCAGGATCTCCCTATGTTGCCCAGGCTGATCTCCAACTCCTAGGCTTAAACTATCCATCTCAGCCTCCCAAAGAGCTGGGGTTACAGGAATGAGCCACCGCATCCGTCAGTAGCAGCAGCTTAAAATGGGGAATTTCAGTTTAAAATTCCAAGTGTAGCTCATAGCAAACCAGATAGAAAGAAGCCCAGGTCTTGGTTACTAACTCCCTTTCCTTGAAGTATTGAGGTATAGTAGGATTGTTATCATTAACTTTAGTGAGGTAATTCCAAGTGACCACATGGAAAGATATTTAAATTATCTACTTTTGAACATTTTAGGCCAGGCATGCTGGCTCAGGCCTGTAATACGAGCACTTTGGGAGGTCAAAGTGGGTGGATCACTTGAGTTTAGGAGTTTGAGACCAGCCTGGCAACATAGCAAAACCCCATCTACAAAAAATACAAAAATTAGCTGGGCATGATGGTGTACACCTGTAGTCCCAGCTACTTGGGAGGCTGAGGCAGGAGGATCCCTTGAGCCTGGGAGGTGGAGGTTGCAGTGAGACAAAATTACACCACTGTACTCCAGACTGGGTGATGGAAATGACACCCTGTCTTAAAAGTTTTTTTAAAAAACATTAATAGCCTGCAAAAGTTTCACCAGCCTTCTCATGCTGGTGTTATAAAAAAAAAAATTGTTGAAATGAAAATCAGAAATATAAGTTTAAAATATTCCAGGCTGTTATTATATTTAGTTTTTCTTATAAAAGCTTTTGTGTCTTATTATTGGCTTTAATTTGTTATCAATTTCTCTTTGAAAAAAACAAAAAAAGCCTCTGAACCTGCACTAGTTTTATAGGACATTCAATTGAGGTTAGCTCAAATCAATACTATGCCCTTTCTTTGAACATTGTGAGGACACAGGGAAAAGGTAAGAGTTTGCAATATAATTGGGGCATATGAGAAATTGGACTGATATATATAAAAAATTAGAGAAAAATACAAATTACTACACATTCCAGGACAAAGTTGTGTGATACACTAAGGGAAATTGCATTAGAAAAGAGACTGTCCTGGTCAGAAA